CCAGGGCCTTTTTCCAGCTTGTGTTTTTTCTGTGGGGGAAAAAGTATATTTTAGAATTACGGTTAGGTTAATTTCCATATAAAGTTATTTCAACTTCTGGAAGTTTCTCTACAATATGGTTTATGATTAACTGTTGTCTTTTATAACGGAGAAGTTTGGAGGTCCATCAGCGAAAAAGAGAGTCTGTACAGGCTTTAACTTACCAGACGTAAGAAAAACGCATGTCATTTTTCAGAAAAGTAAATCGTCTACAGACGTTTTGGTGGAGGCAATTCTGTCGTTAAGTTCGCTGTTAATTATTCTTACTTTTTCAGAAGTTAACTGTGTGAATCCATAGTCGATAAAACTTGTGTCCAATAGTTCAGGGCACAAATTCTGTTGACTGGTGGAAAGGTAACCCCGAAGAGGCAGAATTATGTTCGTGGAATAAGAATGTCATATCTTTATATATACGGTAAGGTAAAGGAATATTCAGATCTTAAAAGTATATTCTACGACGACCGGCATGGCGGAAGAGTTCAAGCCAGACACTAAAGGGCTCGGAAGCTACAAGCTGAAGGGGAAAATAGTAGACCGGGCCAATAGAGAACGATTGAGATGTAGCATATAGATATATGGTAAAGGAGAGCGGCGATAGTTGAGCCTCTGTCGGCGTTGTTCAGTTTGATAAAAAGATTGAGTTTAAACGTTTTGGAGTAGACAAAGAAGGTAACACTGAATGCTTTCGAAGTGGGCGTGCATATTTAATTAGGCTAACGCTGTATGTCCACCACCACCAGCTCCTGGGAATCTCTAAAATTCAACATCTGCGAAGATATAATCTTGCCACTTGGTCGTAAGGTCAGCACAATCCCCGGACTGGACGGGGGATGCCGCCCGGGGGAATAGGAGGGAATCCGGTGGAATACGGGGGAATCCGGCGAGGAAGAATTTTTGATGAACGAATTATAGTTACAGAGCCCATTTTTCAAGATCTACTTTTTATCGATAAATTATGAAGGGCATTATCTGCTAGCAGAA